GTGATCAGGACGGGCAGAAGGAAAAATTACCAAATACTTCTCCTCATAGGCTTAGGGCTGGAATTGTAACCAGGGGCTTTTGGGACTGTATTGAAGGTCACTGTTTTTCTTGCCCATTCTTTGCCTGTTCCCTTGCAGGCCAACAGCAGTATGACCCGAGAGCCTGACCCTATTTTTATTACCAAGCACAATGAAGAAATATTTGGAATATTTCTTTTCCATGAGTGTATTAATGAAAGAGAAAAAAAAAAACCTCTACCTTTTAACTGGACAAGAAGTTATGCAGACCTGCCCAACTCGGCCAGAAATTCTCTTGGGCAAAGGAATGCCACATGAAATTGGAAAGTTCCCCTTCACTCAAATAAGAGTGAAATACCAGAGCCTTAGTTCAGTTGCTTTTCACTGTCTTATACTCCCATCATCTCTCCTCTCCCTTTCCCCCACCACTCCCCCGAGGTATTCAAATGGAAAGGCTTTCTTTCAAAGGTATTTGCACAAAGAAGGCTTTCGGCAGCAGATGAGATTTCTTCTGATCAAAAGCATCTTAGTGTGCTCTGATCTTTCCCCAGAACTTAGCTAAACGTGCAGAAAAAGGACTCTTGCTCAGTACCCTTTGCAGTTCCGGATCCTTTTTGTGGACGTTGTCATTGCATATTCCAGGGGCGTGCATGTGTGCGAATGTAGGCATATTTGTTTGAGTCTTGGCCAGGATATATGCCAAAGAGATTAGACTTCATCTTTCATCCCGGGGAGAAGAGAGCCTAAATGGGTTTATCATGGGGTTTTCATTCACTCTGTCATTTCTCCCTTCTTTATAGTTCATTGCTAGACTTCTAATTTTTCCCGACAGCAGCGCACACCCCTGCAGCTGGCACTGCGTAATGATTCCCTCCTCCTAGACTGACACAAGAGGGGATGCATAAATCTCCTGCCATCAGGGTGCCTCCTTTAGCAGGAACTGCCCCCTCTCCCCCCTGGAAAAAGATCTGTCCCCTCCTCAGCACTCTCATTTACCACCTACTGGCTTTGCCTGCTGAGCCAAGATGCTGCCCGTGACCATTATCCTGCCTATGTTAAACATTGGGAATGGTTCTTTTCTGACAAAAATACAACCATTTTTTTTTTTCTTCTCCTAATGACAATTATTAGTGGAAATTGGAGTGCCTTTGGCAATTGTATTTAATGCAAACGTTACAGCATACAGCAACCAGCTCCCATGAAAAGCAAGACCTGCCTGGTGGTTTGAATTAGGAGCTGGTGGATGAGGAGGACTGTCAGGAGAAAGAATTTTGACCGAAATACAGGCAGGTCTTTAGGATGTCTTAAGTTAGAGATCCTCATGGTCTCTGAGGCCCTGTATTAATTCAAAATGATTGCTTCGAACCACCAGGTAAGGGCAGCGCTGTCAAATCCAGGGCTGAACTCACCCAGCGCATTGGCAGTTTATAAATCAGATGGGACCTGTGGACTGTTTACAAAGTATCGTTTGAAAATCTCTCTTCCTTAGCCCTCCATCCTCACTTATAGCAGCGGAATATAACAGCCGGCTGAAAATCAACACAGGAATAGTGTAAAAGGCAGCAGTCTCTGTTCCTGTCCTGAAGATGAAAGCAGGCACAGGATGAATGTGCGGTGCACAGGAAGAGCTTCGTCATCCTTTACCAGCAGCAAAGGGATAGGTAAAGGTCAGCCGCTCTTCCAAGAGACTTTCCACAAAATACTAGGTTTCTCAAATAGTTATTTGGTGTTAGCAACATGCTGATAGTCTGATATTCACAGTTTCTTTGAGAATCAAATGATGTTTTTCTTCAGCTACAAATATTTGGCTGTTTTTTCTGCTGCTGTCCTTAAGATGATTCATATTGCAGTTATTTTAAAGAGGCGGATAAACTACAATTGTTTATATACAAACAGAGTATGGCATTGGCTGCCAGATAATATTTGGCTTGCTAGGTTGCCTTGTCTTTTCATGTTTTGGCTATCAGAGAGAGCAAGCTGAAAATTAATTGAAAAGAATTTCTTTCTTTCCAAGTGCGCTCAGAGCTAGTGGTATTTTCTCCTCTCTAAATGCTGGCAATTGATTATAAAATGTCAAAGGTGTTAGCGGTGTCAGCGACCTTCATCTAGGCAGCTGGAATAATGGGCCAGGCTTGCTTTAGGACACGCTGCGGTCGCTGACAGGTTTTGTTGCATCTGCAGCCAACTCTGTATCATTAACAAGGAAAAAAGAGTGGATGGAGGAGAGTGGACTGTAAATGTAACAGTGCTCATCCAACTAAATTTACTTGAAAAATGATCATTTTCTGTGTCCGGTGCCATTTTGTACTCCTCATGGTTTTCTAATTAAGCCTGGAGGACTGTGGATCCAGGCTTTGATTTGATCAGTATCAGCTTTCCTCCTTCCTGAGAAACAAACAAAACTTCATCTCTCTGCTGCTGGAGACTAACCCGTGAACTGATTTCTCTTCCATGCCTTGGTTCCCGTTATTGGGAATCCCACTCTCATGGCTTCATGTACGGAACCGCATCCCTGCAGCAGACCTGCCTGCCAGCTTCATATCATGCACAGCTATTCCCAGGATGCTTAAATTTGACTTTGCATCTCAACTACTCCCACTTAATATAATGAGCTTTGAAGTAAGCTATGGGGGTGTTGAAGAAAAAGCCCTCCATGTCTCACAACAGTCTCTTAGACTCTTTTTGGGGCTAAGGCTCAGCTTTAAAACTGGGGATGCTGTTCATTTCTTTGAGAATTAGCATAAAACTGCAAATGTGCTGTATTTTACTGTGATTCTTGAAAAATGAAGGAAGAAAGAATGTATCCCTTTGCTTGGTAGACCCATGTGAGTGTTCTTCTGAGGGGATTACCCTTTTCTTGCCTCGGTGTGCCCTTGCAGCGGTAGGAGTGACAGAGCTTGACGTGCCCATTGCGATTGAGAGAAGTTATCTGAAGTCCTTGGAGGGGAGGGGAAAGGGAGAAGACAGCAGAGATGATAGGAGCATTAGACTTTAAAGAGTAACAGAAGTAAGGCTCTGTTGAACTTGAGAACTTGAGAGTCCCATATGGTATTCCTTCACCTTAATAATGGAAAAATTCTGTTTATTTTTTTGTTTTAATATCTTGTCTTTATGAAGTTTTAGGACTAGGATTCTTGCACTTTATTCCCTTGAGATCTCATCTATTAAATAAAGTCTCTATTCCTCTCTAATGAGAGCAGGTACACAGTGAAACGGAAAAAGACCTTTCTGCATTACACAATTTCTTCTTGGTTTAGTATTAATCAAGATACGCTCATACACTTAAGGATTTGGGAGGCAAAAATTATGAGAAAGTTTGTCTCCTGAGAGTCTCTGTGAAAAGGCACAGAGACTTTTTACTGCTTAGTAAACCTGCCAGCCAGCTAGAAGTTTCTGCTGATGGACACGACGGAGGCAGCCAGAGCTCAAGCTGCTGGGAGCTGGCTGTGTGATGCTCTGCAAGGGATGTGGGCTTGTGTGTGACCTTGTGCCTTGGCAGAGGGAGGAGGCGGTGCTGGGGGGACGGTGCTGGCAGGGAGAGGTGTGGAGCCTGCGAGGGATCCCGCTGCCTTCCCTGCAAATGGGTCTGGCAGCTGCGTGTGCCATTTTAGAAACAGGATCCTGACTTCAGAATCTCAGGTAGAAAATGTATCACTGTAAAACAGTGGCTCTTCCACAGGAAATCCCAACACTTTTTTTCCCTTCCTTATCATTAACAGAGATTTTGGGATACATTCTCTTAGTTTTCTTACCAGGTTAGTTTTACTGATATGTTTTAAATACTTTTGGTTTGTGACACGTGAAAAGATACTTCTGCTAATTTAAAATTAAAAATACATTTTAAAGAGTTTTCATATGTATGATGCTTGTAGATTTGAACTATTGACAGACTCCACGTTGGAGAAGATGCATACAGTAAAAATGGTAGTAAACACAAAAAGGGTTGGCTTGAGAGGTACAAACCAGTCTTTGTCCCCTTTGGAAAAAATGATAGGATAACTTGAGTTGGAAGGGACCAGCAGAGGTCATGTAGTCCAACACCCTGCTCAGATCAGGACCAGTGAGGTCAAGTTACTCAGAAATATAAAATATTTAGTGGTCTACTCTGAAAACTTAAGTATATGGTGGTGAGATTCTTGGGATTTCTGAAAGGGAAAAAATGGCATTGTAATGCATCTCCTTTGTCTTCACCTTTCAGAAAAAAAATAATAAGGAGGCTGAGGAAAGAAATTCTTTGCTATGCATTTCCTTTCATTTTTAGATGGAAATAAAAATTTCATCAGGCTAAACCTTACTTTCCATACTCGATTATTCCCCAGAAAGTTGGAATAAGTATAGATGTAGGCTTTTCAAGAATATGCCCCTAGAAGTTAATTTCTGAAGCAGAAGGAAACTGCAAGGTGACATTGCTTTTGAAAATCGAGCCTTAATAAAGGGCTTCATTTAGGCATCCATCCTTGAAAATGGATGGTGAACTATGTAAGGGCTGGGAGGGAAAGGGGAAAAAAGGAGATGCAAGAGAATGATATTAGATGGAAGTACAAGGTAATTTAAGCCCTTGGTTAATGCCCCTGTTTGAAATTAGCACTGGTTGATTTGGTTATCCAGCCATTGGCAGCTCAAAGTCAAATTCTTACCATAAAGTGTTCTTGCCACAGATTGGGCTTGAGTAAGTTTGTTATGGGTCTACCGTTATCTTCTAGAAAAGTGGCCCCTCCCAGGCAGAGGTAGGATGTTCTGTAAATAGCTTTCTAGTGCTTTGCATGTCCCCAAGACATCTTAAGTGTAGAGGGCACCTGCAGTAGAGAACAGCAGAGAGCGATGTTTATGGATAATGGCAGCTGTAATGAGTTTCCCCTTCTACAAGGCCGTGTTGAATCTCCAGGAGTCAGTCGGTGTAAACATCCATTACTGGGGCTTGAATGGGAAATATTGCATCACCCCTGTGCTGAGGGAGCTCAGAGCTTCTTCTGTTGTTCCAGGTGAGAAGAGAGAGGGGGACAGCCCAGGGCTCAGTTCTGGGGCTCGCCTGGTACCCACTGGAGCACAGCTGAATACAACTGAACAGTGACACCACCCTGGGTTCTCCTGACGTCCCAGCAGAAGTGGGTTTCTCTCTCCCAAGCTGTGGTCCGCACCCAGACTTCTCATGTGAATTTTTGGTAAGGTAAGCTCGCTTTTTCCTTTTTTGAATACCTAGAGTTTTCTAAATGGGAAATTATACTCTATTTTTCTAGACAAATTTGTTGCTATTCATCAAGACTTTCAGACATTGCTGGAGCATATAATAAATGTTTATTACTACTAATGGAGATAAAACTTCTAGGAGCCAATCTTGCAGGAGGCATTAAAAATTAGCAAAGGAAAAAAAAAAAAGAAAGAACAGCTTGGCAGAGGTCCTGTATTCATAAACCTATTTATAGATGGTGTACTGGGTAGAAAAGCAGGTTTGTGTCTCTGCCAGCAAGATGCTCCAGCCTACTGCTGTGCTAGTGCTTGCCCTAATTTTGCACTTACATTCTGAGTCTCCCAGGGGGATGCTGAGCAGATGTGTGATTGACCTGAATCTTGAAGGTGCGCGGGTTTGACTGCGTCTCTGAGGATGATCGGAGAGATTCGATCAACTTCTTTTCCAGGACCTGTTCACGTTGATTAGCATGTGTTGGCCTGACAGGTTGCTCAGGAACCAGCTTGTAAAACCGTCTTCCAACTAAGAATTTTCTTTATCCTCAAGTGGCCAAAGAGACTGGAAGCAAAGATTGACAGAGGGGTTGCACAAACATGGCTCTTGCTCTGTTCTTTAGCTGCAAAGTGGTTTAAAACCGTTTTGGCAGCTTGCTTGGTGCTGGCCACGCTCCTGGAAGCTCTGCTGTTGGGAGCACTGGTTCCAGCCTGGCGTGAGCCTGGATGGGAAGCGAGGGATTTTGCTGGGATCGCCTGTGCCACCTTCATCTCGGCTACCGGTAATAATTGTCTGTAGACCATATTTTTCGGAAGACAGCACTTAGCCTTTCCAGCAAAAGAAACATGTGTCTCCTGTCTGACACCAAAGAGAAACGAAACAATGGGAGAGGAAAATAAAAGAGCCAAGTTAACAAAACAAGTGTATTCTAGTGTTTAGCTAGTAGCTGGCTGCATGCCAGTTTGGGAGGGGCTTTGTTTAGGGGTGGGTGGTTTTTTCGGATGCTTCTGTCCGTAGAGTTTTACTTCCCCTTAAAACCTGAGAGGAAAGGAAGAGATCAAAATACAGCTTTACATGCATGTGAGCTGCAGAATGAATAAAAGTGAAGACAGCTGTTCTAAACCAAAAACATGCATTCTGCCCTCACACATTCATGTATGCGCCTAAAATCATGATTTTTCAAAATGTAGGAAAAAAGCATGAAAAAAGCCATTATTTAAGCTTATTTAGAAATACACATCAGGGAAGATGTATATCACTAAGGAACAAAGGTGGGTCCTGTGAGGGATTCAAACGTAAGGGTGCAAGGAAAGCAAGTAATAGCAGAGTAATTTAGCTGTGGAATTTTAAACCAATTATGTGAATAACAGAGGATATGTTCTGAAAGTAGCCAGAAGTGCTTTCTTGTGGGTATAACTGACATGGTTTCAGAAAGCCTCTGCCTGGCCAGGGTTAAGGTTCCTGCAGCTGAGACGGTGTGAGCACTCCCGTGTCGGGCTGTACGTCGCCGCCTCCCTGCAAGTCAGCCTTTCTCTGTCTGCCTCTCCCATGGTAAATCTTCCAAAAAATGCACATAGGTGTGTCTGATAATACCCAGTCCCTCAGCTTGTTTCTGCATCTGACTGGAAAGTCTGATGTTCAAAAGGTGCTTGGTCTTAGGTTTTGCAGTGATTAAACGTTTTGATAAGTTGCAGTAAACTACATCAGACTTTTATTGAAATTATTGCAGGTTTCACATAACTGGACTGATTAAAGGTAGTATTTCATGAAGCTTTCACTGATCTAGTTGTTTCTTGAGCTCTGTTCCTTTGAAAGGAAGATTAGCTTCCTTGTGCTTTTTAATAAAATGAGCCGCATACTAAAAATCCACTGTCAGCAGTTTGGCTTGAACACCAGAGTATGTGGCTCATTGCTCTACAGAACATGGAGGATATTAAATGTGGATATTAATTTTGTTTGTTCCTCCTTCACAAAGAAAATAGAAAATGCTCATACAAGAGGGGGAAATAGTTTATGGGATCCTTCAGCATTGCCTTTCATAGTATGCAATTACAGACTTTGAGGAATAGTGGATATAAAGTGTTTCCTGGTGTTAGCGGTGTGTAAATAAGTATGAATCAGGTTGGTTGGGTGGTGGTTTTTTTGTTTGGTTTTTTTTGTTGGTTTGTTTTTTTTTTTCAACTGTTGAAGTACCTACATGGTAGTGCTTAAAAAGAGAAACAAAACCTTTGAGATCTCTACTAAACTTCCTTTTCTTTCTAGAAGCTTTCCTCAAACTTCATTAATCTTCAAAGTTTTCCCGTTAAATGGGTGGCCAGCATAAGCATTTCTGCAAATTCATTTCACGTGAAGATTTCGCCTCTAAAGTTGTTCAAGTGAGCATGGCTGCAAATCTGATTCACTTGTGTGGCAATGAACTTCACATGTAAATCCTGCTTCTAATAAGTCCGCTTTGTGCTAGAAGGTGCTAATGGCTGCCATCAATCAGAGGGCTGGTAGAAGTTGTTCTCCCCCTCTCCCCCAGACTAAATGAGACAGCAATTAAATGCCCTTTTGTTGAGTGATAGCTGAGACAATGGAAATCAATGTCCAAAGCGCAAACCAGAATGGCAAGTCTTAAATATAAGCTAAGCCGTGTGTCCCCAGGGATTGGCATGTTGATTTGCTTACAGCTGAGAGGGTATATGAAAGGAATAACTGGGAGTGTAGACAGCAGGAGAAGCAGTAATGCTCCTTGGAGCCAAGCCAGAAGGGAATATTTGCTGGGAAGACTCCTCGACGGGGCCGTGTTGCCACGATCTTGCCTCCGTGCAGCCCTGGCAGCACAAATCTGATCCGGAACAGGCCCCGCCAGAAGGTCATGATCAAAAAATATGATACCAAGTTTGTTTGCGGTATGTTTTTCTGTTGGCTGCTGGAGAACAGGCACTATCTGATCTGGTGTGAAGCCTACTGATACAAACTTAACCTTTCAGCTTTTCTGAAAGTGCTTCAGCCGGCAGGGTGAGTTTATACCCGACCAGTGCTCTGCTTGCAGTGGGTTAGATCCCTGGAACAGGGTTTGCTGTGTTGTCAAGCTGCATCCTGAGAACAACATCCCCTCACCCTGCAAATGCCATCACTTGGTTCCCGAGTGAGTGCTCACGGGTGCAAGAGTTACTCTTGTGTCTCTCCTAAGTAAAACCTCACCGTAAAAAAGCCTAGTTTACTCATTCATTTCTTGTAGAAGAGAACAATCCCTTGAGACCCTGAGCACTGGGTAACAGTTTTGTCCAAAAGACATAGAGTCACTTAGGTGGCTGAACGTGTTTTGCCTGTCTTCTTCACTCCAAATCTTCTCCAAAGCTCATTATGTCAATGGGACACTTCCTTTTGACTCCAGCTCACAATTCTGCCTTAGCTTTATTGCCTTGCTGAAAGAGCCCTAAGTTAGTCGAGTGCACAGGGCTGCATTGTCTCTAATTTCTGTGGGTTTTTTGTTTTTGTTGGGGGTGGTTTTTTTCTGCTTTTGTGCAAAACTGTAAATGCATTGAGTACAACGAGCTATTGCATTTACTAATGACAAGGCACACTGCTGTCATGCAGCTCGTATGCTGTTGGCAGAGACTGTGGCTATATGATGCTTCGCAGCAGCTCAGTTAAACTGAGGGAAAGTCTTCTGCAAGTTTAAGGCTTCAAATAAATGTTTCAGTAAGAATTTATATTTTTTTTTTGGTGCCTGAAAAGTACTGCACACAGATTACCAGAGTAATCTAAAGTAATACTGGGATTTGACTAAAAGAAAATACATCTCTTTAGGGAGTTCTGTTGAACTCGGCTTGTTCTGTGGAGTTCTGTATCTGTAACAGCTCTTTTGAGGGCTTGAACAAAGAAAAACAAAACTGCTGTATTAAGAGGTCTACAGAAATCTGAACACCACAGAGTTGGTGTTCCTTGTTCTTATCACTCATTGATAAAACACTCTGTCTTTTCCTTGTGTTCCCCTCAAGGAGATACTCTTTCAGATTCTGTTCTGCTGTGCTCACTTTTAGTCTTGGGTTTTATAGTATTGACAGTTACTGTGAATGACACACTTCACAATCCCATTGTCTTCATATCAATTCAGGTGTTCACCTCTTAATGTGAATTAACATGTGAATTAATGTTAGTGTTCACGTTAACTCTGGTTCTAGCCTTGACTTGCACCTGACTTCTGCATTAGGCTCTCTGTTAGAGGAACCAGGAGAGACTGGTTCCTCTAACAGAGGAACAGGGGCACAGCAACACCAGAATGAATATAATACTTTGAACCTTTTAATGAAGACCTTGGATTATTAATGTGATCTTCAGTATTACCAATATTGGTACCTTTTCTTAAATATTAACGCATTCTTGTAAATTAGATATATAATAAAAAATTCTACAATGTGGCCGAGAGGATCATAGGCACAGAAAGCCCAGAAACTATTTGTACTGTTTTATATTTAATTATTCTGGGTGTAATTTTGAATAATCACGGATTAGCTTTTTTTAAGCATCTAGTTCTATATTGCAAGCCTTCAGCAGTCCGATAAAGCAGAGCCATTGACTGCTATTTGATGTGTCCATTACCTCCGGCAAATGCCTTGGAATACAATGGGGTAGTACGCAGACTTCAGAGCTGTCATGACAGGTATTAAGAACGTGTCAAATCCCAATGATGACTGATAACATATCTGTCATTTGTGATGGGATTATTAGGAAGAGGAAAGCCACTAGGAGAAAGATACTCTAGGAAAAAAAAAAGGGGGGAGGGGAAGACAGGAGGAGAGAGGATTTACTGTTCTTTGGAGCTGCCGGGTTTAATTAAGCCTTGTCTAGTCCATAAACAAATCTATTAACTTCCTGAATGCCTTGGCAGCTTACGCACTTCAACGCTGCAGCAGTAATTCCAAGGAATTTAGGTTTCTCCTTGGTGGATAGTTGCACTATAGGTATTGTAGCGGTGATGAATGTTCGTGA